TTAAATGTATCATGCCACTCCCTTCTGGCTTGCAAAGTTTCTGCTGACAAATCAACTGTTAACCTTGTGGAGATTACTTTGTATGTTATTTGTCGTTTTTCCCTTGTTGCTTTTAATAATTTTTCTTTGTCTTTAATTTTTGTCTGTTTGATTACTGTGTGTCTAGGTGTGTTTCTCCTTGGGTTTATCCTGCCTGGGACTGTCTGCACTTCCTGGACTTGGGAGGCTATTTCCTTTCCCATGTTAGGGAAGTTTTCAACTATAATCTCTTCAGATACTTTCTCGGGTCCTTTCTCTCGCTCTTCTCCTTCTGGGACCCCTATAATGTGAATGTTGGTGCGTTTAATGTTGTCCCTGAGGTCTCTTAGGCTGTCTTCATTTCTTTTCATTCCTTTTTCTTTATTCTGTTCCGCAGCAGTGAATTCCACCATTCTGTCTTCCAGGTCACTTATGCGTTCTTCTGCCTCAGTTATTCTGCTATTGATTCCTTCTAGTGTATTTTTCATTTCAGTTATTGTATTGTTCATCTCTGTTTGTTTGTTCTTTAATTCTTCTAGGTCTTTGTTAAACATTTCTTGCATCTTCTCGATCTTTGCTTCCATTCTTTTTCCAAGGTCCTGGATCATCTTCACTATCATTATTCTGAATTCTTTTTCTGGGAGGTTGCCTATCTCTACTTCATTTAGTTGTTTTTCTGGGATTTTATCTTGTTCCTTCATCTGGGATGTAGTCTTCTGCTTTTTCATTTTGTCTATCTCTCTGGTTGTGGCTCTCATTCCTCAGGCTGCAGGATTGTAGTTCTTCTTGCTTCTGCTGTCTGCCCTCTGGTGGATTATGGTTCCCTTCTGAATGAAGTCCTATAAGCCTCTAGTAACATCAGGCTAGTCGCTGTCTTTTTGCGTTTTTATTGGTTTCTATACTTTAATTCCTTGATTGGCAGCTTTGTTAATGAAGGAAGCTCACTTTAATAAAATTATCGTGTTTAGATGCTTGTTCTTAGAAGCTGTGTGCCAAATGCTTTTTTAAAAAACATATTTATTTATTTGGCTGCACTGGTTCTTAGTTGTGGCACACAGGATCTTTGTTGCAGCCTGTGGGGTCTAGCTCCCTGACCAGGGATTGAACCCGGGCCCCCTGCATTGGGAGCGCAGAGTCTTAACCACTGGACCACCAGGGAGGTACTGACAAATGCTGTTTTAAAGCCCAATCATTAAGGCTAAGAGGATTTGTTGCTCATACATAACTCACTACATAACTCATTCTGAGACTATTACAGAGCCATACCGACTATTGTTTCTTTAAACATGCCTATTTGTGATGTGCTGTTGTCCATTATTTGAACCTATCAATACAATAAAGTTTCAATTAAATAAATGACATTTGTTCACTGAAAAAAAGAGGATTTGTTGTTGTTGTTCTTCAGTCTTCCTCCCCATAAGAGATCTGTAGGTGCTTTATAGTCTTTACCTTTGTCATTATCAAGAATTCCTACTCTGCTTTCAAAGTAGGGTTGCAGTTGGGTCTGTTCATATTCCAAATTCTTATTTTCGTATTTTCTATCATCATATGGCCTCTCCTTCTTATTCTGATATGGAGTTGAAGTGTTTGGAGAATGATCATAATTAGGTATTACTCATTCTGTATCCTTTGGTCAGCTTTTAAAAATCCTGATGCCTAGGTTGTACTCTATACCAATTAAATCAGAATATATGGGGGTAGAAGCCCTCGATCTCAGTATTTTTTTAAAGCTCCCCAGGTGATTCCAATGTGCAGCAAGATTTAGAAACCATTGGCTTTGCTTATTAGTCATATAGTGTAGAGGTTCTTTCAGTCATCTCTTCACTCCTCAGGATTAATTAGATGACCTTCTAATAATGCATTTTAGTTACTTGAAAAAAAGATGTTATATAAATTAAGATATGACTGTAATCATTGTCACTGTTCTTTAGAACAGTAAAGAAGCCATTTCTGTGGTAAGATATACATAACATAAAATTTACCTTTTTAACCGTTTTTAAGTGTACAGTTTGGTGGCATTAAGTACATTCACGTTATGTACTACCACCACCACCTTCCATCTCCAGAACTTTTCTCATCTTCCCAAACTGAAACTCCATATCCATTCCATCCTTCCCTGCAGCCCCTGGCAACCATCATTCTACTTTCTGTCTCTATGAATTTGACAACCCTAGCTACCTCATATGAGTAGAATCATACAGTATTTATCCTTTTGTGACTAACTTATTTCAATTAGCGTGATATCTTCAAGGCTTCAAGGCTCACTCATGTTGTAGCGTTTGTCAGAATTTCCTTCCTTTTTAACGCTAAATAATATTCCCTTGTATGTAGCTACCACATTTTGTTTTTCCATTCATCCATCGATGGACACTTGGATTGCTTTCACTTTTGGGCTTTTGTCAATGATGCTGCCATGATCATGGATGTACAAGAAGCCACTTTTAAGTGATAAACTGATGGCTGTTCTCCCTCTACAAGATGCTTATCTGGATAGATTGCTTGTTTTTTTGTTTTTTGTTTTTTTAAAATTTTTTTGGCCTCACAGCATGGCATGCAGGATCTTAGTTCCCCAACCAGGGACTGACCCCTTCCCCCTGCAGTGGAAGCTTGGAGCCCTAACCACTGGACTGCCAGGGAATTCTGAAGTTGCTTGTTCTTTATGGATAGGTTGTAGTGTTGTTCACCAGATGAGCTAGTACCTTCTCCTAGTGATTGGTCTTCCTTTCACAAAATATGGAAAAAATTAGATACTGTTCCAAATGCCCTCTAGATTTACTCATAGATGGTGGTAGAATTATTTTATTGTATCAGCTGTCTTGCCCAGGCTGTTGATCAATCCTACAGAGGTTGTGTTCTACAAATATAGTAACAAAAGTCTCTGTATGTCTAGTAGGAAATAAAGGACTCATTCTGTATAATTTAGTTTAACTCCAAAATGCTACTAGGACAAAATTGTAAGCCTAAAAATCAACCCAAAAAAGGCTCCCTGGTCATGTTGCTCTAGAAATTGCAAACTAATTAGACTGAATCTAGAAGCCACATTCCTTCATTTCTATGTTATTCAGATAGGCCATTTAACTCTATTTCTTTTCTTTTTTAAACATCTTTATTGGAGTATAATTGCTTTACAATGGTGTGTCAGTTTCTGCTTTATAATGAAGTGAATCAGCTATCCATATACCTATATCCCCATATCTCCTCCCCTCCCACCCTCCCTATTCCACCCTCTAGGTGGTCACAAAGTACCAAGCTGATCTCCTCGTGCTATGCGGCTGCTTCCCACTAGCTATCTGTTTTACATTTGGTAGTGTATATATGTCAGTGCCACTCTCTCACTTTGTCCCAGCTTACCCTTCCCCATCCCCGTGTCCTCATGTCCATTCTCTACATCTGGGTCTTTATTCCTGTCCTGCCCCTAGGTTCTTCAGAACCTTTTATTGTTTTTTTTTTTTTTTTTAAGATTCCGTATATATGTATTAGCATACGGTATTTGTTTTTCTTTTTCTGACTTACTTCACTCTGTATGACAGACTCTAGGTCCATCCACCTCACTACAAATAACTCAGTTTCGTTTCTTTTTATGGCTGAGTAATATTCCATTGTATATATGTGCCACATCTTTTTTTTTTTAACATCTTTATTGGAGTGTAATTGCTTTACAATGGTGTGTCAGTTTCTGCTTTATAACAAAGTGAATCAGTTATACATATACATATATCCCCATATCTCTTCCCTCTTGTGTCTCCCTCCCTCCCACCCTCCCTATCCCACCCCTCTAGGTGGTCACAAAGCACCGAGCTGATCTCCCTGTGCTATGCGGCTGCTTCCCACTAGCTATCTGTTTTATATTTGGTAGTGTATATATGTCCATGCCACTCTCTCACTTTGTCCCAGCTTACCCTTCCCCCTCCCCATATCCTCAAGTCCATTCTCTAGTAGGTCTGCGTCTTTATTCCCGTCTTGCGCCTAGGTTCTTCATGACCATTTTTTGTTTTTCTTAAGATTCCATATGTATGTGTTAGCGTACGGTATTTGTTTTTCTCTTTCTGACTTACTTCACTCTGTATGACAGACTCTAGGTCCATCCACCTCACTACAGATAACTCAATTTCGTTTCTTTTTATGGCTGAGTAATAGTCCGTTGTATATATGTGCCACATCTTCTTTACCCATTCATCTGTCGATGGACACTTAGGTTGCTAAAAACAGTGGTTAGATGCCATGAAGAAGGTGGCAGTGCCTTAACCGTATGTGTGTTGTCAGGCCCGAAGGCCTTTTCCATCCTTGTCAAGGGGAGTGCTAACCTTCTCTCTCCTTTCATACAACACTTAACTCTATTTCTGTACATGGTCTTAGCTTTTTATGTTAAAGAACCTAGTGCCTGAACTGAGAGCTCACTTTTTTACTTCTTTCCAGTCTTAATGACCACTCTTTGTTTCTTGACCTCCTTGAAGGGTATACTTTATTTTTAACAGACAATTCAGGTGGACATTTTTATAAGAGAATCAGCTGTGTTAGTCAATAAGTGGAAATTTGTTGGAGGCAATCAACTTTGGAAAGGTAGTGATTACTTATTTTAACATTGTATTTCTGGAGGCATTACTTTTTCATATTCCCCAAACCCACCTATTTTTATAGCATCGAAGAAATGAATTTTCATTTGTGTGTATTTCACTTTGATCTTTTTGACACTTTCCCTCAATTTTTCACTTATAATAAAAGTCAGTTGACAAGAGGCTTATCCACATCACTAAAAGGAGAGAAACTTTAAACTTTGTTAGTCTCTTTGGGTTAACAACTGGGCTGCGTCTGTGTGCTTTAGAGGTACGGGAATGCCCCCAGACTGAGACTCTGATGATGTGATTTACAGCCCGCTCTGCAGGTGGAACACAGCAACTTGTTCTTCTTGTCTAAAGACTTGACTATCGAACTCTCCAGTTCGAGAAGCTAAGAGTGAGTAAACAAATCCTTTTTCTTTCTAGATCTTCATCTGCTGGTGGATGTGGCCTGCAAGCAGGAGCACTTTCCCCAGGAGGAAGAATGAAAAGAGTGAGAATGGACGACAGACGTGACATTGTGCACTGGCTGTAGCTGGAGGCAGACTAGCCTTGCACATGACACACTGTTGGGGCTCTTTCAGTTCTTTAAGGAAAAAAAGTATTTTTGTTTTGTTAATTGAGAATTTTGTTAATTGAGAATTGGGAATTTGGTATTTACTACAGCTGTTCAGTTCAGATTGTTTACCTTGACAAACTACCACCTTTGCAGTTTTTTTTTTTTTTTTTTTTTTTGCTGCCCAGGTCCCTTTCAAATGAAAGTTCCTGGTCTTCTGTTACAGTCAAAAAGCACCTAAAAACAGCTGCATCTGTGGTACCGGAGAATAATCTGTGTGGGTGTGCTGATTTGTCGTCTTGCCACTCTCAAAAGTAGTCAGCGCAACTCCAGTGGGGAGTTCAGTCTGTTTCAAGTCTCAGTGTGATCCTTTTAGAGAAAATTGTGTGAGAAACAAAGGCATGTGAGGTAACCAAGATCACAGGTCTAAATGGGTCAGGAATTCCAGGGAGAAACCCTGGGAAAGA